CACAGCACCCTCACCCTGCACCCTCCCAGAGCTCACACTTGCAGAAATCCTTCCCTAAGTTGAGACACGCGATGCTAGACATGAAAAAAAGACAAAAAACCCAAATATGCTGGGAAAAACCTGATGATCAGGCACTTGTTGGAGCCTTGAGTGCTGAGGAGCAGTACAGAAAATTCCCACTGACTTCCCCAGCATCAAAAACCCAAATCTGCTGGGAAAAACCTGACGGATCAGGCACTTGTTGGAGCCTTGAGCGCTGAGGAGCAGTATAGAAAATTCCCACTGACTTCCCCAGCATCAAACCTTTAATAATTTAATACGTGTGACTGGAATTTCTCAACAGGCTGGAACCCCCTCAGGACCTAAATCTCATTGAAAAAGAAACCAAGCAGAATTTGGCATCTCTTTCCCAGCCTGTAAGATTAAATGCAAATATGTTATTGGCATCGAGCTATCACAGCTTGATATATCCACAGAGCTCCCATACACTGACATTAACTTCTCAAGAAAGAACATTTTGTTACTCACCCTGAGATAGTTTATGCTTAAAGGCAGAAAGAATATTTCTGGTTTAGGTTTGGGCAGTGAACAGTGGTACCTTCACCAATTCCCAGCACACCCCAGCACTGGTCTGGTATCAACAATAAAACAGAGCAACTGCTGATCTAATGTTAAAGACAATTTCCAGTGGCTTGGGTGTACTCTGGTAGCTGCCACGCTGAAAAGTACCTCCAGCTTCTTATGCTGCTCTGGCTTCAGCAGACACCAATCAATTCAGTACCACTCCTGTGTCTGCAGGTGGAAAACAATGGCCTGAGGTTGAGCTCTTCTCTGCTAGGCTAAGAACTGGAGCATATCTTCATGGCAGAGACACAAAGCCCTCGAAAATAGGTGTTTGTAATGCAAAAGGCTGTCAGAAAAAGATATAACTAAATTCTAACAAGAATTTTCCGAGCTTAACAGCCAGAGAATAAATGGATGATTAGTTAAAAAGCTCTAACCATTCTCCTAAAGAACAGGGGGGATACTTTTTGTGAACAGAGATGAATGATCTCTGCTGCTCTCCAATTCAATAGCACAGTTCTAATGGGGCACCGACCACATTAAATGGATGCAGCACTCGCATTAGCAGCATTGCCTGCTGCCTTCTCAAAAGACAGCTCCTCTACCCCTCATTCACTTCATTTGCTGTTAATTAATGGAGATGATCCACAGCCTCTGGAGTGCTGGTTTCTCCTGGGGGAAGGCAGGGCTGGCTGTGGGGCTGTGCTCCACTGCCTCCCAGAGCTGCCGGTGGGAAGGTGATGCTGAGAGGGCTCCCAAATCCCAAATCTGACTGCAGGGAGACAGGAGGAGGATGGAAATGGGGCTGGGCTTCCTTACCACGTCCAGCCACAGACCATTCCCATGTAAACAGCTGGGGAACAAATCAAGGACAAGTTTCTCTGGTGCAACGGGACAGCCCTGACAGTGGGTTGCAGCCCTGATGCCACTTGAATCAGCTCTTGACAATTGTCTGCAAATCTCAAAGGCAATTACAGCAGATGAGCTCTAATCAGAGCAGGCACAGCAGAAAAACCCTTGGTCTCTGCATCTGAAATAAACTGCAAGACCCCAGCCAACATCCTCCTGTCCATCACCAACCAACCTCTGTCATCCTGAATAGGGTCAATGGCTGAGCTTTACCTTGACCAACAATTTGTCACCTAGAGGATGCACCAAAGCTAAGCCAGCACAGTTCTTTTCACCAACTCAAATCTTCATGTGAAGCTCCTGTAACCCAGGAGAGGAACCCAGAAAATGCCCCTGCAGTCCTTGTGTTCCCAGGTCTTAGCTAAACTGCACTGAAAGTGGTTTCTCATCTAGCATCTCTCACATGAACTGCATTCAGCACACACTCACTGGGAAGAAGAGCAGCAGTTAGAAATACTAAGAAAACACTCTTTGTCCTTAAGTTAATGTAAAGCTTGCGAAACCAAATCAAAAGACTCCAAGCTGAAAAGACTTGAAAACTTAAGGTCTAGTGTACCAAAGCACAGATGAAAAGGAAGAGGGTGGGCAGAAATGTTGGCCTTCTGTTTGCCAAAACACCTCCAACCTGCCCTGGAAAGACCATTTCCACCTTGCACCATTCCCTCACTCATTTCCTCACCAAATTCTCCATCAAGACCACTGGCTTGTACCACATGTCCACTATGATCATGGCTTGTACCAAACGTCCACCGAGAAGCTGCAATTTGTTCCGCAGCCCCCGAAGCCCAGCTGCCAACAATATTAACTTTTGCTTAAAAATGGCCATGGTGAGCCACAAAGTGACTACAAAAGAGACCTTCCCACCACGAACCAGACTAGGAGTCTACCTGGCCTCCCATCCCATCTGCATGGCAGAAGGGATTAGCAGCAACCAGCCTCTAGGAGCAAATTATGGGATCCTACAGGCAGCAGATGTGGACAACCTTCCTGATAGCCTTTGCCAGCCTGAGGCTGGTCTGTGCTCCCAATCACTGACCTCAAAAAGGGAATTTTAAAGCTCTTTCCAGCTTCTTAACCCACAAGTTACCTCCATGCATCTTGTTATATTGAGATACAGAGAGAAATCTCACTTTTGAAGGGCCACAAAGCAAACCGTTTGCTAGAAAGACAGATTCAGCTCTGCAGGTTCCCAGGAAAGGCTAAAGGCATCTTTTTATAAAGATATTAGCCTAACTTTTTCTCTTGCAAACTTTTGCCCATAAAAAGCAGCCTTACTCTTTCAAAAAGCTGCTTTATTTCTAGGCAGAAGGACAAAATCAGCCTACGGCTCTCAACAGAACTTTGCTCGGGGACCTTTTCTTTGTCTCTGATCTGCTGAAC